ATTCTCTTAATGAATAGAATGATTTGTTCTAATGGTGTTTGTAAATAGGATCACAAGTCCGCATCTTGTAGAGCAATTAACCACTAAGAAGAATATATGCTGTGTATTATTTGTTGAAAGTGTACTTCCGAGTTGATTTGAAACTGTCTCATTGCTATCTGTTTATCAATAAAACTTTGAAGAAAAAAAAAAGATTTCTCTTTACAGGGAATATTCTTTTTCCCTTTTTAGTATGACTATTTCAATTGGTGTCATACATGTCTCTTTACAAAGGATGTCTTCTTCTATGTGCGCCATGTATCAATCGTTTATTTCCTTCAATACATTTGTGATCATTTGTCTATAAAAAATATAAAATAAAATTAAAAAAAAGAAATTATCCTATCTGAGAATACATTTAAAAAATATTGTAGAAGAATGAACAGAGCTGGAGAGTTGTGGAAATAACCTCCATGAAAACAAGTTACACAGAGGAAACGAGAATGAGGGAGAAGCAGCAACTTTGAAGATAAAGTGAGAAGTGGCCCAGATTTGATGAAAGTGGCCCAGATGTGTGATGGCATATGCCTGTAATTCCAGTACTTGGGAGGCTGAAGCAGGTGGATCAAAGCAAGTTTGAGGCCAGCTTGGACTACACAGTGAGTTTAAGCCTAGCCTGAGCTACAGAATGTGACTGCTTCATAAAAACAAAACAAAAAATATTGTCAATGAATTCCAAGCATGACCCCTAAAAAGCACCATAGCTATCTTACAGTGAAACTGCTAAATAAAATGAAATGATAAAAGTAAATTTACTAGAAAGCTGCTGGAAAAAATGACCCACTACAGTCATAGCCGCACCATGAAAGGGGCCATCACAGAGTTCCCAAAGCACAGTACCATGCCAAAGAGTATGGTTGAGGGTCGCCTGCACTGGCCTTCCTTTATAGTCTGCAGGCATCTAGTAGCTCCAAAGCTCTCGGACATGAGGTTGTTTTCAGTGGAGCCCAATCAAGAATATCCATTATCTGAGGCATGCCTGCCCAGTACACATCTCCTAGGTACAAAGTATACCTTGGGAATCAGGTCCCAGGATGCTGCTATAGGATAAACCCAGACAGGCCCTTCCCTCTGGAGCTCCATGGCCTGCTCTCCTTGTAGCCTCTTGTAGCTCTGCTACAACTTCACACAAGCCAACAGGAGCTGCTTCACTGTTCCCTCTGACCAGCCTTTTAATACCTCTTACTCCCTTTCAGCACCTTAATATCAAAATGCTTAAATATCAAAATGTGAAGTTTTAAAAACCCCAAATTCTATATCCATAACTAGTGAAGACAGTCTTCAAAAATGAGATTGAACCAATGATATTTTGATAGATGAAAGCTAGAAGTTTTTTGCTACTCTATCCACCCCGCAAGTAAAGGAGCAGTGCTCGGGAAATGCTGCAGGAATCTCTTTATGCACAGATGGTTCCAGTGTGTGTTGGAAAGACCAGGTGGAATGTCAGCTTTCTAAGGGAGGGAGACAATCATAGGAAATGGTAAATATAAACACTTACTTTTTATTTTT